GGCAGTTTGCTTCAATCAGTACCTTTATTTTGTTTTCATTAGCTTCAACTGGCCATCCAGAATGTGGTGCATCTTCAATATTGAAATTGCCAAAACAAAATTTTGTAAACCAGTTTTGGCACTGTCGTTCTGTCAATACATCTTCTCCATACACGTCACACAATTTTTTTCTCGCTTGAACAGCATTCTTACCTTTTCGGTAATAAAAGAGCAAAATATGCCGAAAATGCTGCTTTCGATCTTCCATATTTGATGGGACACAAAAAATAAACAATTGCACAGAATCAAACAAAATTTTTTTCAAATAAGCTTTAAAATGCTAGCTGTCAAAATACATAATGATAATATGGTTTAGAATGAAAATGGCAGAAAAAATATGACTAACCCGTCTAGTGGTAAAAAAAACGAAATTACTTTCCGAGCAACTCAATAAATTTCTATACTACATGTAAAAAAAGAAGATAACATTGCTATTGCATATTCAAATATAAATTTGTATATGCATATTTCCTATGGAAGTGCTGTATTGTTGAATATGGGATAGCTTCCATGGCCAAAATATTTGAATTATGTAAAGCAGCCAGATTACAGGCATTCATGCATGTGCTATACAGAGCACCAAGCTCTTGCGGTTTAGCTCGTGAATTCTACACACCAAAATATCATATAATGCTTCCAATGATTCTATCCAGTGCTGGCACAGCTTCCCTATCATCAAATGTCACCACATACCACTGAAATAAACACTTCTAAAAAACCAAAAATTCCAGCAAATAACAAAACTTTAATGATTAAAAAAGCCTTCAGTCATATTTAATGGTCATCATCATGTTTACATGTTTTAGAGTGTAAATTGGAATTTACAAATTTTAAAACGGATGGAATACTTGAGCACCTCAAAGATGATATAACTGTTCAGTAAATGTTCTTAGTAAATTTCGAAAAAAGATTTCCAATGTGTTTTTATTAGCTTCAAATATTTTTCATTTTTTTATACATTTTTTATACCTTAGATTTTTTTGTACATCCTGTCAAGTCTATAAACCAATGTTAATTAAAATGCTACCAGAGGATCACATCTATCACCAATGATTCATCATTTCTTTATTCATAAATTATACATTATTAATAGATTAAATAATGAGATTAATGAGATAGATTTAATAATATAATGAGATTAAAATTATTGTTTTTGACTGTAGTCTGTGAATGAAACATTCTAAGAATAAATAAAAAAACTGTCTTATTCAGAAGCAAATCCAGTGGTCTTTCCAATGTAGGGAATAGAAATCCAGTAGGTTTTATTAAGGAATGATATGTATTCCTTTTGTCTCTTGCTAAATATCTTTAATTCTTTAAGAATATTTATAATCATATACAATCCATTTAATTCTAAAAATAAAAATTAATTAGATTTAGGTAATGTTATATATATATATATATATTTCATGTTAATGTATAATTACAATATTATTTTTTTGCTAAACGAGATATGTATTCATTGCTAAACGTGATATGTTTTTATATTTTTTGCTAAACGTGATATGTATTTATTGCTAAACGTGATATGTATTCATATTTCATTACTACATATAATAATACAATAAATCTCTGCTAACTCAGACTAGTAGGGGTAAAAGTTGTCTGAATTTAAGAAAGTGAGTTAGCAGGGTGTTTTCTCCACAGTCAGTTCTATACAGAAGTTTTTACTGAACTTTAGTAGGTTACACTTCTGAATTTATTATACAGAAAATGAGCTCAAAAAATTTTGATAGTACAGTATACAATGTACAGTCTTTAGTAACTTACTGACTATAGTAGTATAATGCATGATATTGCAAAGACTGGATATTGAAAACACTCAATAATTATAACTTTTCTATTGTCAAGAAACTTTAAATTACTATACAATTTTTGAAAAATTTATTCAAAGTATGCAAAGTCCAAGTTGTTAGGTCCAAGTTAACAAGGATTTAGTATATTTTATTTAAATTTATTAGAATTAAAAATAATTAACAGGTATTTGCACCTGTATTTTTCATTGTTTTTACTTTTATTATTAAATTTGAAATGTTATTATGAAAGAAATTGAATACATATTTTTTATTTAAAGATATCCACTGATTGTACAGTAAACTAATTCAACAATACAATTAACTGTGTTTCATTTGATACTTTTATCATACATTATGTCTACATATCAAAAATTGATAAATTCTAAAATAAATTTATAATTATTAAATTCTTTGTTATTGCCATGATTAATTTTAATTTAGAGTATTTACAATACAACTATAATTATTCTTTGTGCTTAATAACAAAAATGTTGAAATTAGACTTGCAATACTTTAATATTTTTATAAATTATAATAATTATATAGATAATTATGCATAAACAATTAATAAGTATATCAAAACAAAAAATACTACATTTAAAAAAATGATAATATTTACATTTTATTAAGTCTGATGATATACAGTGGTGCCTCGTATAATGGACGCTGCAAACAACAGACTTTCTGTTTGGCCATTACATGAGGTAAACAATGGTCTTTCTGCGAACAAGTGCGAATGATGTTTTCACTCTTTTGCTGTTGCCAATGACAATCTGCTATTTTTATAATATATTAGTATTATTAGTATATCTGAAGTACAGAGCTCCTGTTGGGATTCGGCTTGCTCTCTTGTTTATTATGTACATCACCTCAGTGCAGGGTATTTACATTTATTCAAGTGTTGTGCAAATCATGGCTTCTAAAAAAACAGAAAGGTGATTTCAATTGAAACAAAGCAAGACATCATCAGGAGTGAAAGTTGACAAAACTTCCTTGTCAAATGGGGAGAGGTTAAGGAGTTTACCAACACACATTATCCAAACAGAGCTGAGGCCAACAGGATCAATGATCTCTACAATGACACCTTTGCCTGTCATTTCTGACAGGTGTTGAAGAAGAGAGAGAAACAGACCACCTTGGACATGTTTTTCAAGAAGCAAGCTGCCAAAAAACAAAGGATGGAGCAAGAGGAGATGACCCTGCAAGCTTCGGTAGCCTCTCCTGAATCTGACTCCGATTAAAAAACAATAAAAAGAGACCTGCTGCAATGTGTAAAAAGTCTGTATCTGTATGAATGTGTAAAGAAAGTGTTCCTCTTCCTCCTCCTCACATCTGACTACCCAGCATAATTGATGACTGCTCCATTTTCATTTTTTTATGGTAAAGTACGGTTATTTTATGCTATGGAATGAATTATATGTTTTAACAGGTATTTCTAAGGGAAAATGCATTTTGTATAACGGACTTTTCACTTAACGGACATGCACCTGGAACGGATTAAGTACATTATATGACAGACCACTGTATTTGATTTACCACATAATATTATGAGTTATTCATAAGTACAAGAATTTATAAACAGTAAAAGTGTAATGAAATATCTAAATATATCTAATGAATTTTGATTAAAAATTGATATATAAATATATGTATTAACGGAAACACATATAGAATCTGAATTTTACTATTGTGTTTCACTAAGAATGTCTATTATTTTTCTTGAAATTTTTATTTAAATTAGTGTTTAAAAAAATGCAGTTAATTTGAATTTTTTAAACATTTATTTAAATACAAACTAAATTTCTGAGTTGAGGCTAGTATATCTCACATTTTCAAAATTAAACTTGAAAATTGAAAGTAACATATAGTAACTGATATATATATAAATAAACATCAACTCACAGCCCGAGTAGATAATAACAACAGCAAACGATCGGGCTATAGCCATATTATAGCCCGATAATTAGGCGATCGTTTGCTGTTAGTAACTGATATAGAAAGTGCATGCTCTTGCAAAATTATCACCTGCTTCATAGTTTTAGTGACATTTGCATTCAAGATAGAAAAGTTCTTTATGCTTTTATAATGTCTAAAAATAGAATGAATATAAGTTTGACTTTAAAAATTAAAATAATTAAAGGAATGGAAATGAAAGTAAAAAGAATACATGATATAACTAACATATATTCATATGAAATATTAAAAGAAAAATATTTTCCATCTATATTTGATATGAATGTAAAATAATTAATGTAGTAAACAAGTATAAATTTGTTAAAACATGTGTACAAATGAATTAGACATGTTATATGTCTAATTCATTAAACAGAGTAAGCAATACATTTGTTATAAATGAAGAGCTTTTTAATGTAGAAGATGTGGTTTCTGTATTTTCAAATTCTGTGTGTAGCGTCTTTGTAATCCAAACATTAATTTTGGTAGACGATCAAACAGCAATTAGTTAGGAAAACATTACGGTTTATTTAAAAGAACACTTTGTGGGAATATTCCCACACATGTCTATACTGTACCATTATATAACATCACTGAAGAGGGGTTGGGAATACAAGCCAACCCGAAATGCGTCTGAATTTTTTAAAAAGTGTTCTTTTAAATAAACTGTAACGTTTTCCTAACTAATTGCTGTTTGATCATCTACCAAAATTAACGTTTGGATTACAAAGACGCTACACACAGAAGAGCTTTTTATTAATACATTTAAATTTATTTTGAACACGAGAAAAGTATTATTAACTTTGCAAAGATTGATTATCCTGATGAGATATTATCGTACATATAATTATTAATATTATGTTTGAATATATTGGTTTTACGTGTCAATGTTATAGATGTGGTTTAAATATATTGATTGTTTTCCATCTTTTAGATTATTAGTGAAAAAAGATATTCAACTAATAATAATCTCTCTCAAGATTCAAAGTTGCTTGAAACTGTCAAGAAAGAAAATGAAGAAAATATTGAGAAACAGATAGAAGAAAATGATAAATTTGATGCAAAGAGGAAAATTTCAGGTATCTTTTGGAATTAAATTTAGTAATGAGTAATTTTTCTGATTTAAGTAACCGTTTCAATTATAAGAAAGTTAAAAATCACATTATATCTTTTATTGTATATATGTACTGTATATTATTTTTTAAGTTTTCTTGATATAAAATTTATTAAGAAATATAATTGAATTAAACTACACCAATGAATTGAATTAAATAGATTTTTATACTCAAGTAAGAAACAAAGTAAGAATATTTTTTTCTTGACAATGATTAAACCTTGTCTGTTCATTAATCCTTAAACAAGTACAAATCTCTGGCTTAGAACAATATTTCTTTATTTTATATTTTTGTTACATCATTGATGATAATATACATTTTAGATCTATTCAACTGTCATATTCAAAGAATTGTCTAAAATTTGGCACTATGTTCAAAATTTAACGAATAAATTGCTAAGTTGAGGAAACTAATGATTTATTTGAAAAGTAATGTTTTTGGACCTACAGTATTTGGTTCATCATCAACCCTTTATGCATTCAAATTCTTCCTTATTCACTGTAATGTAATGTTTCTTCAATCTTTTAATGGAATTTTCTTTTCTTAACCAACAAATTTTGTTTTTTTTGAATTCTGTTTCATATTTTAACATTTTACAAACTATCAATCAACATTCAAAATATATAGTTGCATTTAAATCATCAGTTTACAATTGCAATTATAATTTATTAGTAAACTATCTATATTATAATTTTCTTAATTATTAAATACTGTTATAAAGTTAGCTACTTATATGTGACTAAATTTTTCTTGTAAGGATTGATATGTAGTCTGACAGCAATGTAGTACTGAAACAACAGAGTTCCACTATGTTTGTCATCCTTCACCTGGCTAGACATTGAACTAGTTTTAGACTGACACACACTTCTGGCCTAGAAACACAACTTCAAAGTTGAATGATATGCAACTTTGATGTTTCCAACATCACACCATGTCAAGTTAGCTACTGATCAGAGTTTGACTATAAACCAGACAATGTTCTTGTCAACTCCAGCAATGACTAGCAGCCTTGAAACTTCATACTGCCATTGGACTGTAAACCCTTCTTAAATTTAGGTTTAAAGAAAGTTTGAATACATTTACAAAAGGAATTCACAAGGATTTGTGGATTATTTTGCTGATAAATGTAATCTGTGGTTATATATAAAATTTTTAATCGTATATCAGAAAGATAACTTTCAAGGAAAGGAAACTAAATGACTATGTCAGTTTTAAATATTTCATGTTTAAAATAAAAGTTTGGGTGAAATTAAACCTGTACATAGTAGTCAAAAATCCTTGATTTTAAGCAGTTTCAAGAAAAAAAAAGGGAACAATTTTAAGTTATTGGATTTATATTCTCAAGTACAAATATGTTTATAAGAGTGTTTGGCATAGTAGTTAAGTTCTGTTCTATGAGTCTTCATCCCATGGTTGTTCTGGGTTTCATTCTCAATTTTTTTAAATTTTATTTTCAGTTTTTTTAATGTTTATTTTCAAAGGAATGGTGGGTTGCGTTTTTCCATCGTTGAATTACAGCAAAACCTAGTATTGTAGCCATTTTTCTTATCTGGCCATGCCTGAAATTCCTCTTCAAAACTGCATAACTTAAGTTTTAATATAAATCAAACCCCATATTGGGGTCCCTCACTTAGGTGCCTAAGATAGGAGCATCCAAAAATGACATTTATTCCTGTTTAGTGGCAACAGAACAAGAAAACCCTGCATGCCTAAACCCAAAATATTGTTTAAAATGTTTTAAATGAATTGAGCTTTGTTGCTCTAATTTTGGAACAGATTGCTGAGATGCTCACTGGAGATGAGAATATAGTTGAGCTTTGAGGTCCAGTGGTGCGTTAGAGATGTTAAAGATTACTTATTCAAAGTGTGGGATTATACACCCTCTTTGAAAAATGACATTCAAATAAAATAAATCTTAACTTATATTTAGCAAATATATTTATTCTAGAATTATTATATTTATTATTGTGTTAATATAGCTGTAAACCATTAGTGTCAACTTGACTGATNCAAAACTGCATAACTTAAGTTTTAATATAAATCAAACCCCATATTGGGGTCCCTCACTTAGGTGCCTAAGATAGGAGCATCCAAAAATGACATTTATTCCTGTTTGGTGGCAACAGAACAAGAAAACCCTGCATGCCTAAACCCAAAATATTGTTTAAAATGTTTTAAATGAATTGAGCTTTGTTGCTCTAATTTTGGAACAGATTGCTGAGATGCTCACTGGAGATGAGAATATAGTTGAGCTTTGAGGTCCAGTGGTGCGTTAGAGATGTTAAAGATTACTTATTCAAAGTGTGGGATTATACACCCTCTTTGAAAAATGACATTCAAATAAAATAAATCTTAACTTATATTTAGCAAATATATTTATTCTAGAATTATTATATTTATTATTGTGTTAATATAGCTGTAAACCATTAGTGTCAACTTGACTGATTACTCTGTTAGTTTCAGACATAATTACCTCATGATAACTATTCGCACTGCAAAGAATGCATTTTAATTATTTTGGTAGTAAGAAGAAAAACAATTATTTATTTGTTCAATATTTCTATACAAAATTTGATTGTATTTTGTAAAAATATAACTTAATGTAATGATGTCTTAGGGTGTTAAAAACAACTTTTTATTCAAAATTGCAAGTACACAAATATGGATTCCAATTGAATCAGCTTGATAAGGATAGTTGTAAGCTATCAACAGTAGTTGCAATTTTGAATAAAAAGTTATTTTTAATGCTGTAAGACAGTATTAAAAATTCATCATAACATTACATCAATATTTGGCATGAAGTGCAGTTAAAAATATAACTATATAAATCAGTGCTGGCTGAAAATGTTAATAAATAAAAAGTTTTGCTGCATTTTCTGATTTTTGAGTCCTGTCACAGCAGTTTTCAATTTGATATTTACTTCTATGTATGCAATTAGATTTATTAATAGAAACACTTAGGTTGTCTATTGTGTATGAGTGAGGTAATGAATGTGTTTGTGATACAGTGGCCATAATTGGGTCAGTGCTATGTTTGCCACTGATGCAAGGGAGACTGTGGCAAATTTTTTGAACTTGGTATCATATTGTGAATGTGTAACAATCATTTTTGTTTTCTCCACAGAAATGGATGTGCTTATATATCTAAAGCAAGGTGATTATAAATCATTTGCCCTACATGGGGAACAGATATTGTTCAGCAACTGTCCACTCTGTTTGTGGGTCACTTTTTGTTTTTCTTTCCATTAACCTTACTGGCATAGGTAGCCCTACTGAAGGCTTATGCTTCTCCCACTATTGCTCTATGGTTCATTGGAACTGTTGAACTCTAACACCTCAACAAGATGGTGATTAGTGAGAGAATTGTTTTTATTATGGTGGTGTTTGTGGAGTGTATCCTACTCTGTTTATATACCAGTTGAATGCTATGCTAGACTAAAGTCAAAGTATAGCTAAAGAAAAAATGTTGCTTTGTTTACATGTTATTTGTGAATGTATCTCTATATATACAATAAATCCACAAACCCAATATTTAATTATGCCAATGATCTGCCATATTATTGGGCTATAATAAGACTCACGTAATAATTAGATATAAAATAATTTGACTAGAGGTGGACACTTATGCTGCTATGATAATTTTAATAATTGTAAATAAATTAACTTTAATTTAAAATGTTATGGAAGAAAAGAATACATCCAGAGTGGAAGTTGAACCCACAACTCCTGCTTACCATGCAGATGTATTGCCAGTTACTCTACCTAGGCTTCTATCTGATCTTTGGATGGAGGTCAGGTAGTGTAACTGGCTGTATCTGTGTTTAAGAATTTCTTTCCTAAGTGATGTGTTTAGTATAGTAGCTTTCTGAAGTATGATACCTGTGTAAGAAAGGACTACTGACACAATAAGTATTTTATCTATTCTCCACAGATGCTTTATTTTGTAGGCAAATTCTGAGTGTTTACTAATTTTTTCAGTGTATGTATTTTGTATGTTGTGAGTTCTTGGTATTATTATTATATGTTGGGTTTAGTGGGTTATACTCGGTACACACCGGTGGCTGTGTACTATGCGGGACCAGAGTCAAGGCATAGCAACCAAAACAAAACTAAAATTAAATGTGTGTGTCAGTGTCAGTGTCTGTATTAAGGAATTTCCTAACAATATGGCATGTATTCAATATAGTGGCCTTCTGTAGTGTGATGTATGTATTTCTACTCAATTGTAATGTTCCCAGGCTTTTGTGTAGC